TCTTTGTTGGTTTTTAACTATTTGTAACAATATGCTTCATGCAATGCACGATGGCTCAAAGATGACGTCTCTTTAGAAGTAATAAAGTCCTATGACGTTATCTCTGTATGTTATGGATTTCAAAGGAAATATGTTTAAACGTACTACAAATCTTTTCCATAGCCATGGTTTTAATACTCTCTGCACGACAGGTTGATGGCCTCAAATTCTCCGCCCTCCCCTCGAACCCTCCACCATCAAAGGGTCAATTGCAGTCAAGTAAAAGGCTACTCGTGTAATACTTTATATTGACTACTTGAATTTTCTGTTACGTAAAGACCTACATGCATTTTGCCTCTTTCCTCATTAGTTGCCGCTCCATTTACCCTAAAAAATAACCAGCAGGTTAGTTTTCTCATGAAGAAAATGCACATTCAAATACACTTCCAGGGTAGTCCAGTCTGTAGTATATGGCCCTTCAAAATACACTGTCATGAATTCGAACCACATCCCAACATAAGTTGTTTAAGTGTGAGAATTTAATGAATATGTTAAATGAAAGGTTTCATTACTCCAAAAGTGCTAACGACTTTTGAATGAGCTTGTAGTTCTGTGCTACTCCTGCGAGTCTATCGCGGGGTTACCTCCCAACATTTTATTCGTCAATATTATATTCCTGGGTGGAGAAGGGCACTATAGGAGTAATGAGTCTTGCCCAAGAACACAGTACAACGACCCTGCCAGCATTCGAACATAGACCGCTCGACCCGGGTCCAGCACACTAGACGCCAGGCCACTACATGTTAATTATTTCTTCATTGAAGTGGCACATTTCAAATAGCGAAATTATTAAGCGGAATCAGCGTTAAGACCCAAGTGATGAAATAAACGAATGCAAATGTCGCAGTGCTGCTCTGACAAGCTTACCTATCCCTTGTTGCAGTCCCTAAAAGGGGGGAAAAATGAATTTATTAACATTGCAATCAAGTTGGGAGGGGAAAAGATGGAGAAATTGATGAGACTTTCGTTACCCCTTTCTAGGAAGTAGCCCACAAGAGTTCAACTGATGCCAGAGGTCTCTGAACATGGCATTATGGGCCACATTGGGTGTCAGTGTTGCAAGGAATGCTGGTGAAGGATTTATAAGGCGTTTAAATCTTAAAAGCAAGCAAGAAAACCACAAAACTTCCGATAAATGGCATAAACGCTCCGTCTCAGTTGTCTTGTTCAGTTATTTAACTGTTTTAGCATTTAAATCCAACGCCATAGAAGATTAAAGTCGGAGGTTTAGCAGAGTCAGGTAACGTACATGTATTAGCAAGTCAAGTAGTCTCTAAGTCACCGTTAAGACTTACTCAGAATATTTAGAATATTGTTTACCTTTCTTGTGAAGCCATAAGATGTAGACAACAAGAGCAATGATTATGACAACAAGGATGCCGATCACAACTCCCAATACGGTGCAGCTGCAAGTACAATCCCCACACGCTTGAACTGTCAATAGTACAATAACAATGTCATCAGAACTCTTTTAAACAGACTTATTTCGCGTGCTAAGCATGACAGATATGTCTGTCTGTCTGTCTGTCTGTCTGCCTGACTGACTGACTGACTGACTGACTGACTTCCTGTACCTACTTTCCATCATTTCGTCTGTTTGTCTGTTAGTGGTTGTTTTAAATGAGCAAGCTCAACCAAGCTTTTAATCGTAAAAGGTCACGAAAGTTGATCCGTACCTCGCGATTTAGGTGTTTGTTTCTGTTTGTTTTCTGTTTTATTGATATATTTTGATTTGCCAGCATGTTTGAAATATAAAAATGTTGCACCCCCGAAAAAACAGGTGTCATATTACATCCCTACCTCCCCATAAGGGCCACTCTAATCTGTCACCTGGGGGCCGTTTTAAAAAGGCTTGACTGTATATGCTCATAGTACAAAATTCGAAAACATATATTGTAAACATTAAAAAAAGTAATTTAATTTATAAATGTAAACTGTGAGGAAATAAAGTATGCTATGTTATGTTATATAGAGGATATTACATGCCCGCGCGTCAACTCGAGTTGAACATGAGAAGATAAAATTCGTATCCACAAGCGGGCATGTAATATTCTCTTTATTATATAAACATACCATTGACGACGTTTTTGACGATTTTCCCAAGATTTCCTACCACTTTGCGAAGATTTCCGAATATCTTCTAAAATTGTTCCAAAGGCCAGACGAAAGGTTCCGAACATTTTCCGAACATTTCCGAACATTTCCGAACATTTTCCGAAGATTGCCGAAGACGACCGAAGAAGATCAGAAGATGTTTCGATCATACGACAACAAATTTAAGTGTAGTTAAAGGGACAAAAGAAAAATATTATCAAAAAGGAATGATATCTTCACAGTGTGAAAGATAAAAATAGTATTTTCATTACGCGCGATGATATATAAATATGATTTTTTAGTAAAAGGAAAAATCCTGGTATTTCACTGGTGTTTATATAATAAGTTATATTATGTTACAAAATGGATGAAGCCAATTTAGTATTTGAGAGAAGGCACCAGTCCACCCAATAGAAAATCAAAATATACAATGGTTGGCTTACCGTCAGATGAGCTGGTAGGTGTTGTGGCCATTGTGTCTGGTATCTCTGTGTCTCGTGTGCCTGTTATGGCACTCACATTAAAATCTCCAAACCCTCCATTCTTGACAGCATCTCGAAGTATAGAAAGTACCTCGCTTTCTCTTACAGTGGAACTGAACTTCAGGGCCAGATCAACAATCACACTTCCACATCTTGGAA